TTTTTGGAAATAAAATTAAAATCTAGTTTATTATCTATGAAATCAATATAATATAGTGAGTATGATGAAATTAAAATCTGGTTAACTATAGAACAGACCAATGCTGGCTAGTTAAAGGATATACATTTATTAAGTCAAAGTCAAGAAAGAAAAGAAGGCCACACAACTTGAGATAAGGTTATTGGAACCTTTACCGTATTTTCTCTACTATTTCCTCTTTACTTTTCTCTACTTTTGAAAATTGTTTCATATTATTATAATTTAATATTACAATAATATGAAACAATTAAATACTTCATGTGATTTTTAGAAAATAGAGAAAACACCATGAATGGGGATATTTGATCATGCATTTATGTCTCAAATTGATTGAGAATTCATTCCAGATTTATTTTACGAGTTGCTAAGCAATAATAAATTTATTAAATTCTAACATACAACGATCAACAAGGCTTATTACTCGTTGACGGTGGATGCATAATGATTACTCTTAACATATAAATTACTTTCATCTTTGCTATGATAGTAGCTTTTTTATATAATATTTTGTAATTATGTTGTCTTTGGATATGATAAGATTTATTCATTTTTAATTTCTGATTAATATTTGTTTGTATTGCTACATGTACATTGCAAGACTTGACTCATATATAGTTGTGCTAGATAAACTTCGTGCATGTTGTTGATGCGTGATTTTGTCATTAACGATCTCGCATGTGTAAAATGTTAAGATGGTTTTAGAAAGTATACGTGATATGATTGTGAAAGTTGATTATGGTGCTGAAATGATATATATTTGAAGAAACATAAATAAAAGATTGACAAGATAGATAGATTTTTATAGTGGTTTGGATGCTTAAAACGAATCCTACATCTACTGTTATTTTATTATTCTTTGACTATTTTTTTGATATTGCTTGTATGACATACAAAAATGGTGTAATGTTTTGTTTATAGAGAAAAATAATGGTTGAAGCTCACATTTGTGTCCAGCTCTCATATGTCTAGCCTCCTTTTTTCATGAATAGAAGTGCATATTTGTACCTTTGAGGTCAATGTAATGAGTGCATTTGCAAGTTGTCTTGATACGTAAGAACCACTTCTTAATCTTTATCCTTTATTTTGATAAAGTTGGGACAGGTGTTATATAATATCCCTTTGAGGCGATTTGGGTTTTGATGGCTAATACCATTTTGCCCTTAAGTGCTTGTTGAACTCTAATTGGTGGTACTAACATCAGTGTGTATTTTTGGCATTATAGAACCCCCCCCCCCCCCCCCCCTTCCTCTCTCTCCCCTTTCTCCCCAATTTTTGGAGTGCGTAATTGCACTTAAAAAAATCATGTCTTTGATCTGAATGGTTGTCACAATATAGGCTGTAGTCTTGAACTGAAGAGCTTGAATTATGTCTAGCGTGATCAGGTGCTGAGAGCATGGACTATAATTTGAGAGCTTGGAGCAATCCGAAGCTAAGTGCGATCTGATAATTGACATAAAATGTCTAGTAAACGAATTCTTGTGGAGAGCTGACGTCAGAAGCCCAAACACATGGTTTAGAGGTTCTAAACGAACATGTCAACTTAAAACAATCATAACGTTTGATCTAGGAGGAGTTTTGGAGCCCGTAAAATATCAACAAAAAACTCTTTCTAAGTTTTATGTCATGGTAACAGGGGAACCTATTTAGGGTCATTTTTGGAGTCAAAATCCACTGTTTTGACATGTTTCGGGGCTATTTTAAGTTTTTTACGTGTTTTTTCTACGTTGACAATTGATTGCGATATGAGAATTGGGAGCTGAAATTTGCCAAAGAAGTCGAAAGTTGCTGAAAGAAGTTGAGACTTCCTGGAAAAGCATTGAGAGCTAATGTGATTGTGATGTCGCACATGCAAAGGGCTAAGAGAGCCTTAAAAATTACACGTGATATGATTGTGAGAGTTGACTATGGTGCTGATATGATATATGTTTGAAAAAACATAAATAAAAGATTGACAAGAGGGATTTTTATAGTGGTTCGGATACTTAAAGTGAATCATATATCCACCGTTATTTCATTATTCTCTGACTATTTTTTTTATTGCCTGCAAGGCATACAAAAATAACGTAATGTTTTGTTTATAGAGAAAAATAATGGTTGAAACTTACATTTGTGCCTAGCTTTCATATGTCCAACCTCCATTTTTTCGTAAAGAGAGTTGCCCGTTTGTACTTTTGAGGTTAATGTAATGAGTGTTTTTGTAAGTTGTCTTAATACGTGAGAACCACTCTTTAATCCTTATCGTTTATTTGGATAAAGTTGAGACAAGTGTTATATAATATCCCTTTGAGGCGGTTTGGGTTTTAATAGTTAATACCATTTTGTTTTTAAATACTTGTTGAACTCTAATTAGTGATGTTGACATAATATGTATTTCTGGCATATCACATGTGGTCCATAACCGCATTAGCTAAAAGATATTACTTATTGGAAGAAGTTATTTTGCAAGTCACAAAAAAAATTGGTGGTTTAATTCAATACTTCCTGATTGGAGAAAGGTGATTTCCAGGAAAATGAAGAAATAAAAATACTTCCATGACAACAGGACTCGTTTGATGTTGCGTCCAGAGTAGTGTAGTGGAACGACCTCGAGATTTAGATGAGATGAGGTCAATTGGGTGCTCGTCATCTATGGAGCCGAAAACCTGTAAAGGTCAATGTTACCACACCAAGTTGGGTCCAGTGTTAGATCACTTTCTTCCTTATGTGTCACTCTGTAATCAAAGGAAAAGCTTAAATAATTCAGGTGGGAACCACCACTCAACACAGCTTTGACAGATGTAAGACTTTAATCATGACTTGGTTTTAGAAAGGGCAAGCAAGTATGAAAAGGAGCAAAATTAAAAAGAGAATTATTCCCTCTTCACGCAATTGTCAAGAAATTTTGTAATCTCCTGCACCTTTATTATTGTTTCGCAATCAAAGCTTCTTTTGGTAAGTCAGACAAAACAATAAAGCAAGAGATATGATATTTTATTACAGTTGTCTATGCCTTTCTTCAACGTACATGACTGATAAGGAAATTACATTAAAATTAAGTCCAAATCAAATAGATTGTAATAATCATCCTTGTATAATAAAATAATAAATCATCAATGAAGAAATTAATTAAGAGTAATCCTAGCCTCATAGGAAGGGATAAAAAAAAAAAAAAAACAAAAGAATCAAATTTAATCCTTAAAATAAGGGTAAAAAAAAAAGAGAGTGACAATCATAAATTTTACGGATTAGATTTAATTTTTTATATGTTTTTTTGTATACCTCTTTATAAGGATAATATCATTAATTAATAACTATAATATTCATAAAAATATGAATATTAAAATTAGTTAGGAGCATGAGACAAATTTGACAGCATATATATTTAAAATATTTTCTTTTTTTAATGGAGGGAGGTGTCTATTTATACTTTGAGATCAATATAATAAGTATTTTTATAAGTTATTTTAATACATGAGAACCACTCTTTAACTTTATAATTTATTTTGATAAAATTGGAAAATGTGTTATATAATATCTCTTTGAGACAGTTTGAGTTTTGATAATTAATACCACTTTGCTCTCAAAATGCTTATTAGACTCTAATGGATGGTATTGACATCAGTGTGTATTTTTGACATAACACATGTGATCCACAACCACATTAGCTAAGATATTGCTTCTAGGAAGAAGTTATTTTGTACGTAAAAAACAATTGGTGCTTTGATTCAATTCTTCCTGATTGGAGAAAGGGGATTTCCAGGAAAATGAAGAAATAAACATGCATGTGACAACAGTTGGTTACTGGGGACTGGACTTATCAACAAGCGTTGTGGGCAGGACTCGTTTGATGAGATGAGGTCAATTGGGTGTTCGTCATCTATGGAGCCGAAATTCCTAGAGTAAATTCACACGAGAAAACCTGTAAAGGTCAATATTACTACATCAATTTGGGTCGCTGTGTCACATCACTCTGATATCAAAGGAAAAGAATGGGAAAGCAAATATGAAAAGGTACAATAAGTCATTTTCACAACCAATTAAAAAGAGAATTATTCCCCTTCACGCAATTGCCATGAAATTTCCACCAATTTTCCTGGAAGGTTGTTGGCGTTCTCTCTACCATTTTCTACACATATTTAATTCAAGAAGAGGGGAAAATCAGAGAAATCATTCATAATAAGTAAGAAAGTTTAATGGTTTTCCATCGATTCAACACCCTCAAATCTGTAAGTATAATTTCTTTTGAAATATATTCATCAATATTTTCCTTCATTGATCTTTTATCTACTACTGTATTTGCCTTATTTCTTAGTCCATATCTGGCTTCACATATTTTCTTTGGACCAATTGCATCTCACTATAGAACATTGAGATCCGGACACATTTGTTTATTGGGTAACATACTTGGCCTTTGTATATCTATAATTTTTCTTTTCTTTTATTTTCATTTTATGAAAGTACTGATGCATCTATGTTTTAAACAAGCTAAACAAGTAGTCAAAATATTTGGTTGAAGATTCTTGATATTTATAGTCTCTCAAGGTTTCTAAAGTTCGAGTATCAAATCTGAACTTCCAAGGTTGATTAATTGTAAGTGCCTCCATTGTTTCCTGGATTTGTTTCTTTTTTCTTTTTGTTCGAATACTTGTTCACATATCTTTTAATTTGTAGATAGTCAAAATATGATATCATTTTTTTTTTTATAATTAGAAAATAATAATACAATAAACAATTTTTTTTTTAATTGTTGTCTCTAAAAGATAGAAACATATAGATCTAAGTATAATTTCTCTGAACACAAACCGAAAAAAAAAAAAAAAAAAAATTGGTGGTTTCTTTGTTAAAAAATTAATTTTCACATAAAATATACAAGATTGATTTTTTTTTTTTTCTTTTTGCTCTTTTCTGGAAATTGAAAATACTTATAGATGGTCTACAAGAAGTTAGATTATCTTAATTTCCAATTAATTTTTCAGGGTTTAATAGAGGACGAAATTGCTTGCATTTACAATATAAACAAACTTGTAAACTCATCATGCAAACAACCTCTTCATCAACATCTTCTTCTTATCGTTGGAAATATGATGTCTTTCTAAGCTTTAGAGGTGAAGACATAAGGAATACCTTCATAAATCATTTGTGTACTGCTTTCAAGCATAAAGGATTGCGTGTTTTTAAGGATGACGAAGAACTTGAGAGTGGAGAACTCATTTCACCAGAGCTCCTTCGTGCAATTGAAGAATCAAGATCTGCAGTTGTTGTTCTCTCAAAAAACTATGCTTCTTCCAGATGGTGTTTAAATGAACTTGTTCAAATTGTTCGTTGCAAGAATATAAAAGTTTTTCCAGTTTTCTATAACGTGGATCCTTCCGTGGTTAGAAATCAAACTGGAGAATTTAAAAAAGCCTTTGTCAAACATGAAGAAACTTTTAGAGAGGATATTGGAAAGGTGCAAACTTGGAGAAGTGCTTTGACAGATGTGGCCAACCTCGTTGGATTTGACTTAAAGGATAGGTATGTTACAATTATTTCTTCATCTTTATAGTGGAAAGTTTAATTATCAAAATGATATTAAATGTGCCAGTCATGAGTGTTGATACTAAAAATTAAGCATTGAATTTCTTACTCAAACCAAGTTTTATCTTTATCAGAAATTTAAAAGTATTCATACAAGGAAATATTTAATTAACAAATTCTTATGTTATAGATAATATAGCTACAATAGTGACTGAATGCTAAAAGTAAACCTATTCAAAAAGGAAAAATGAAAATCTCATGTGTATAAACCTATAGGTGTATTGTGTACGTAGATAATTTCTATGATACACACTATTTATTCATTGACTAGCTAGTGTTGTAAGTTGTAACCACAATTTTTTCTTGATCTTTTCCACTCTTCAGGCCTGAGTCACAATTTATTCAACACATTGTGAAGAAAATATCAAGCAAATTAAAATTTTCAAAATACTCAAGTGACGAGGGCCTAGTAGGCATAGATTCACGTTTGGAGAAACTAAGGAAACTTATAAGTCCTGAGTCACATGATGTCCGTATGATTGGGATTTGTGGAATGGGAGGAATAGGCAAGACAACAATTGCTACAGCTGCCTATAATTGGTTTTCTGATGAATATGAAGGTAGTAGTTTTTTGGCTAATGTTAGAGAAAATTCCAAAAAAGATGGTCTAGTTTCTTTACAAAAGATGCTTCTTTCCGAAATTCTAGATATGGAAATAAATGGCATCAACGTACACAATGATGTTGATGGAATAAGGATGATAAAAAGTAGATTGGGGTGTAAGAAGGTTTTTATTGTTATAGATGATGTGAACAATCCAGTGCAATTAGAAAAATTAGCTGGCAAGCATGATTGGTTTGGTAAGGGCAGTAGGATCATAATAACATCAAGAACCAAAAAATTGTTGACATCCCATGAAGTAGATGAAGTTTATGATGCTGAGAAATTAAATGATGTTGAAGCCCTCCAATTCTTCATTTCAAAAGCCTTTAAGAAACATCAACCTTCAAAAAGTTTTAGGGAGCTGTCCGAATGTATTGTAAAGTATGCTGGTGGTCTTCCATTAGCTCTTAAAGTTTTGGGTCACTCTTTGTGTGGAGAAGAAGTTGATATATGGAAAGATACATTAGCAAAAGTAAAAGAATATGGTGACGAAAATATACTGGACAAACTTCAAATAAGTTTTGATGGGCTAAGAGATTTAGAGAAAAAAATATTTCTTGATATAGCATGTTTTTTTAAAGGAATGGATAGGTATTACGTGACAAGAATTCTTGACAGTTGTGGTTTCTATCCAATTTCTAGAATCAAAACTCTAATTGATAAGTCACTCATAAATATTTTAGATGATGATGAATTGTGGATGCATGATTTGTTACAACAAATGGGTCAACAAGTTGTCTATAAAGAGTGTCCCGAAGAGCCTGGAGAACGCAGTAGATTGTGGAAAGAAGCAGACATTCGTCATGTGTTGACAGAAGGCACAGTAAGCAATTCAATTTTGTTATAATTAATCATGTGCACTTTTTCAATTATCATTTGCTTTAACTAGTTAAATATATATATGAGGTGTGAGCTAGTGCATTATTAGCAAAACAACTAGCCTTTCTAGATTTGCATGTGTAATTTTTTTTTTTTCTGTATTTGTTGACCAATTTATAGTTCGGTTGAGCATATTAAAGTCACTTGTTCCTCAAAAACACTTTTATTTCCAAAATTATAGTTTTGCTTCTAGTTAATTTTTTGCTCCTTAGTTTAGATACTTTCGATATGCATGAGCACAGTGACAATGAGAATAGTACAATCTATAACTAAAAAAAAAATTTGATATTTAATTTTTTATATTATTTAAAAAAGAGTATGGAAAAAAATCAATAAAATATATATTCTATAGATTCATGAATATGCTTGAATTAAAAATTATAGAAAACCTATAATATTCAATTTTAAAAATTAAATTAAAAATTATTTGAAAAGTTAAAAAGAGTTATACGTTTTAATTGTAAAACTTAGAAAATGAATTTTTTTTTTTTTTTTTTTTTTTTACCAAATAGAAATCAAAGTTCCTTTTTTTCCAACTTTTTTCTTTTATAAAAAATCATTTTTACTAAATATCATGAAAATTTGTGAAATTTACAAAATAATAATTTCGTTAATAAAAATTGTTGTAAGCATATTAAGTGAGTTTGAAATTGAAGAACTATTTTTATAAGATTGTGTGTTACTTGTAAGAATTTTTGTGCAACCCAATTAAGTTTTATGTTAAAATGTTAATGGTAGACCTATATAAGTAAAGGAAAACATTCGTCTCTTATTTGTTCAAGGGGACTGAAAATTACACGTATATATTGAAGTAGCTAACATTCATATCTATATAGTTCAATTCATGTGTTATTAATTCTTAACTTGCTTTCTCTCTCTTGTTTTTTTTTTCTTTTTTTCCTATTATTTAAAGGGAACTAATAAGGTTGAAGGCATGATGCTCAACTTTCCTACAGAAGAGATCCACTGTTGTGCTAAACCATTTTTGAAAATGACTAATCTAAGAGTACTCAAGCTCTGTAATGTTCAACTTTCAGAAGACCTTGATTACATTTCCAACAACTTACGTTTACTTGATTGGAGAGGATACCCTTTTATATCCTTACCACCAAATTTGAAATTGGACAAAATTGTTGTGTTGAAAATGGATGAAAGTCGCATTGAACAAATGCCGCAGGGAATCAAAGTAAGATTAATTCAATTAAACTTTCCTATTTTATTTTTTATGGAATATTTTATGTCTTTTATTGTTGAATAAATATGGAAAATTAAGAAAAGTACATCTTTGTCTAACTTCTTTTCTTTTAACAGCCTTTCAACAATTTGGAATCCATCAATTTTAATTACTGTGAGTACTTAATCAAAATACCAGATTTAATATCAGTCCCAAATCTCAAGGAAGTGTGTCTTTCTAGATGTTACATGTTGCGTGAGGTTCACCCATCTTTGTTGGTTCACAAAAAGATTACTTTGTTGGATCTGAGTTGTTGTACAAGTCTTACAACTCTTCCAAACCGGATTCATATGGAATCCCTAGAACAACTTCGACTATGTGTTTGCTGCAAATTGGAGAAGTTTCCAGATATTGTAGGAAGTATGGATCGTCTAAATTTCCTTTCTTTATCAAACACTGCTATTAAAGAACTGCCAAAGTCAATTGAACGTTTGAGTAGACTTAAAGATTTTTTGTTGCCAGGCTGCAAAAATCTTGTGAGTCTTCCAGTCACTATAAATGGTTTGAGTGGACTTGAACGATTTAGTCTTGCTGGATGCTCCAAAGTTGATAACTTGCCAGAGACTTTGGAGCGTTTAATCTTTCTGGAAAAGCTAAGGGAACTTTATGTATGTGAAACTGTGATAAGACGGCCAATGGCGTCCCTTTTTCTTATGAAGAATCTTAGAGAGTTAAATTTTAGTGGATGCAGAGGACCGCCATCAAAATCTTCGTCCTCAGACTTCTTCAAGACTTTTAGATTGCCCACTTTGTCAGATTTTTGCATCTCTTTAGAAAGATTGATTCTGAGTGACTGCAATATGGAGGAAGAAGCGATTCCTAATGACTTTTTCAGTAGCTTTTCTTCATTAGAAATGTTAGACCTAAGCAAAAACAATTTTGTTTCACTACCTGGAAGCATCAATCATCTTTCCGACCTTTGGTTTCTTGACTTGAGCGGTTGTAAGAGACTTCGATCTCTACCAGAACTTCCGTCCAACATAGAATCTATTATGGTAGATGATTGTGTTGCACTGGAAACAACATCAAATGCATTAAGGTTATGCAAATCCAACCTGGTAAAGTTTTCATGTATAAATTGCTTGAACTTGATCTGCTGCAATAATCTAGCATCTTCAATGCACAGAGAATCCATTAAGGTCAGTGTATTTCTCTTTCTCTCTCTTCATCTTTTTAGTTAAACATTATTGTATGATTTTTCTTCCTTTTTTTGAGTGCAGGCAGCGTATCATCATCAGACGGTGTACCTGGATGAAATTACCATGGTTTTTCCGGGAAGTGAAATTCCAGAGTGGTTCCAACATAAGAGTGAGGCTTCTTCAATTAAAATAGAAAGGCCTCCAGATTCTTATGATAACAAGATGGTGGGATGTTCTGCCTGCTTTGTTTTCGATTTCCATGGGCATCATAGTCGAGATGAGGATGAAGAAAGGGATATAGCTCACCTTCACCTTTACAACTGTGATATCAATGACAATAGTGAAACTATTCGTATTGGTTTTCGGGGCAAGAAAGTGTCAGACCATCTTTGTCTACTACATTTTCCTCAAAGACTCTTTCAAGATTTTGTTCAGCTTTCATTTAAATCAAATAATCCAGCATTGGTGGTGAAGAGGTGTGGGATCCATCCAGTATATGAGAAAGAAATAGAAGAGTATTCTGATGATGATGAAGATGAACCACCGTCTAAAAGATTAAAAGAATTATAATCCTTCAGCTTCAGAATCTTCTAAAGCCTACATCTTATACAGTGCTATTTTACGAATATATTGGTAAGTCCATATCTATATTTCTGACCAATTCTATCTTATTTTTCTCTAACTTTAATGCTCTATGCCAGATTGATGTAGAATGTATAAATCTCTAATTCTATATTTTAATAAATCTCCAGACAATTTTATAAAGTTGCTGGATTTAGAAGATGTATAATCTGTTTATTTTTGTTTGGATGGAAAGACAGTGCTCAGATCTAATCTTCTCAGAAATTGAGGAAATGAGACAAACCAAGGAATAATGAACAGAAAGTGAACTTGAAGTTTGTGAACTATTGCCTTGTGTTACTGATAGTGATGAAAATACGCTGGTCTATTGTAAGAGACTTAAGGGTGTGAAGTAGGGGATTTTTGAGCAGTAGGCAGGAAGGTTCTTTGTGTGTGAGGTGTTAAGGGATAGATAGATGATTAGAGAATTATGTTACGAGGAATAGAATAAATGAGGAGACAGTGGGACTGTGGGGCAAAATGGAGGTTGTTGGCCCTCAAAGTCCAGCAGGCTACGTTTATCTTTATCGTGTCTAGTTCATCTTTTATTTTTCGTTTGTTCTTGTTGATTGAGCTGATGAAGTTGTCGTTTAACATCAATACAAATATCTATTTTTTGATCATCTCCTGGGTTGTGTATGTTTGCTGGTTGTGTGAAGATGATTCCAGTGACTTGAAGTTAATTGGTCATATATTTAATTGTAGCTCAGCTTTCAAAATTAGTCTTTTTTCTTATATTTTAAGGATTTCCAAATATTGGTAGTGATGGTGAAGGGTTAATAGCTTATAATAATGGGTTATAAGCAATTGGCATGTATTTGTCTACCATCAAACCATTGTCCATTCATCAATTCTATGCACTTTTGTGCATCCTTGTTTTTGGGCTCAAATTCCGGTGTCCATTATTCTTGTTTTTGGTGACTGGTCCACTGGACCAACCTCTACACATTCCTCTTGAACATCTGCTTCCAATTCTGAACGTAAATTTTCATCAGCCCTCATTTCTGCAAGGGAGAACATATAACGAAGAACTACAGCAGCCAGAACTGTCACCTTTGCATCATCAAGGCCACCCCAGCGAAACATCTTCTCTTCAACCTTCAGCTTCTTTTTCTTCTTGTTGTCTACTTGCTCGGATACAAAGCTACCCCCTTTCTGCTCAAACTTAGCTTGGTGACTGCATAGGGATCTTTCCACCTGGACGAAAAGGAGCTCCTTCCAAAATGAATAGCCAAAGCAACTGATGGTTCCTTAAGATATGTTACAAGAGCATCACCCATTTTTCTCCCAGTCTCTTTATCCACATAGATTTTCCCATCTACAAGAACACATATCACCATTAGAGAGCCAGGAAAATATGGTGGGTAATCATAAAAGAATGAGATAAGCTGTTCCTTTTCCAAGGTCTTGTACGCATACCCTTTTTATGACTAGATTTACTGCTAGAGTTGTTCCTTCCATAGGCCAGCTTGTGTGCCCTTTCAGCATCTAACTGAGCTCTGTACTCTCACATCATTCTATTGGTATCTGCTTCTAGTTCACCCTTTCTTACTTCATCTTCCTAAAACATCAAGTACAAATATATGTGACAAACATGTAATTTCGTAAATTTACAAAAATTAATGCAAGCACCAAAACCAGTAACTTGCACATATTCAAAAAGAACGCATTAAGAAAATGTTGTAATTAAACATGAATATATTGAACTAAACAATGTTACATAAACATAAAAGAATCAGATAGGGCCATTGAAGCGACAAAGTTTGGGTGAAATATATTATTAAGATTGAATGGTTAACTTTATTTTATTTGTCTCTTAACGGCCACATACTATCAGCCCAGTTTTATTATATTCAGGAATATGCAAACACAAGTTTTTTCCCTTGGTATAACTTCAAACCCAGAAGTGCAGAAATAAAAAAAATCCATTATATTTTCCTATCACACAATCATAGAAGCACAAAGCAAACATTTTGAGATTTCTTTCAATTAATGCTAGTTTGCAAGTACTCTACTAAGCTGAAGTCAGGGTTGCAAAAGCGAGCATAAGCTCCATTGTTATTATTCTATTCTAAATAAACTTTCACTATCATTACTACTGGCTTGCTTCTCAGTAGAGACAGATAATTACATTAAACTTTACACATATTTATAGCTGTGCATGGTTAAAATTGCAAGTTTCTGCCAAATTTGAGTTACATTGAATGAGAAGAACAATTATAGCTATGCGCAACAGCTCACCTTTTGCTTCTTTTAGAGTTCTTCCCAAGTAATTGTATGAGAAGTTTTAAGGCTGGCCAAACGAGCAGCATGCCGCCATGGTGAATGAAAAGACCCATCCACCTGCAAGGGCCCAGAAATATTCCAGGAAAAGATAATCATCCATAGTACAGTTACAGAATTGAATGAAATTTTCTAAATGCATGTCAAGAAACCTTGTACATGCATATCTCTAGAAGATGATTTAAAGATTCACATCCGCACAATCCAATGTATCCCAACTAATTATTGTTAATATATAAATTCTCATCGCTGACAGATAGTTTTGTCATTCAATTTTCCAAAACATGGGTCAAAATTCACTGTCAACATAAATCGAAAAATTAAAACATCTATAAAAGGTGTAAAACCTCTCAAAACATGGGTTCTCCTTTAAATAAGCATAAAGTTCTTTTCCTTTTTCCCCCTATTTGAACAAACTTTAAGAAACAAATTACAATAGATCTAAAACATTACCGGTCACGGGTTGTATATTACTAAAATACAAAACCGAATCAGCATTACATACAATTCATACTTCCTCACTAATTTCACAAAAAGATGTTACAAATATCATGTCGAATGTTACCCATAATCCAAACAACAGTACCATGATTTCCCTTTTAAAAGTCTATAAATTTATTTACACAATCTCAATACCCTTTTAATAGTTTTATCAATATAACAATTATATCACTGAGAAAGCATATAATACTATTAATAAGAAATAAATAAACATAACAACACTAAGTGAAGCAACTAAATAATTCCAAATACCTTCTAAAAGCTCATCATTTGGCAATTTATTACTTACACACATATAGTACATTAACAAAACAATAAAAAAACTACTGAAGGATTATCAATTTTTATACACATCCAAAACCCTTTTGAAAGTTCATCAAGTTGGCATTTTTGATAGAATAATTAAAAATAACTAAATAAATTAATAACACTAAGCAGAAGCAACAAAATAATTCAATAATAATAACAATAATTAACAATTAAAAAAAAAAATTGGGTATGAAAGAGTACAAACCATGCCGTCCTCGATCTCTTCCGGCGCAGCGAGCTGGGCGGAGGCGAGCTCGCTGCATGGCCTTGTGACTTGGTTTTTGCCCATTCTGGAGAGAGCCCGAGTGACGAAGTGCAAGAAATTTGTGGGAAATTTGGAAACCCAGATAGAAAACAGGAAAATTAAGAATTAAGCTGTAACGGTCGAAATCCCATCAAATTGAGAGGAAATATGGGATTGTAATGTTTCTGCGAGAAAGATAGAGTAGAAATTGAAAGAGATTAACTTTTGAAGATGAGAGATCTCAAATCTTTGGCTCGGGAATTATGGGTTTGGTCTGTGGTAATTTTCAATATTTTTAAAAAGAACAATTTTTAAAATAATCACCTAATTAAATGGTATCGATAACCATTTATTCTTTATCTAACACTAAACATAAATTCCGAATTATGAAAATTGTTCTTTTTATATTCGCCCATAATAATAATAATAGTTCAACTTTGAAATAGAATGCATGGTGGCC